CAAATCCTTAAGGAAAATTTTAATGAAATTCTCTTTTTCTTTAAAAGAAAAAGAAAGCATTTTTTCAGGTACTCCAAGCACACGGGAGTACCACCTGCTTTTGTAACCACTCACTCATTCAGTCACAATTATCTACTGAGCATTTATTCTGTGCCAGGCATGGTACTGTCTTTTAGGGAAAATGTATACACATACATACATACATATATACACACCCATAATTATATCGTAAAATTAACCTCACGGAACAAGGGAAAACTGTTAGCATAGAACTATGTCCACACTCTCATACACCCCCACCAATTCTAGCTTCTAAGGGGATTTCTGGTTCTGTCTGGTTGGCTGCAGGGTTTGTTTTTTTTAATGTCAATCCTGGAATAGGTAGAGCTGAATAACTGAAAGGAGCTATGACTGGCTAGATTTATTTACCTAGGAAGAATCTGATGCTACTAAAAGAACATAACATTCTCCAAAACGGAAGGGGAGGATGAGGAGAGAAAACAATCAACATTAATGAGAAAACAGGAGTGAGAGAACAGATTTTACATGAGCTACTGCTGCGAACAGGGAGACTTTGGGCAAAGGTGGATAAAGCTCAAACTCTAAATTTGAACATTTCTTAAGTTTCCACTGGTGTGATCTTCAACAGACTTTGATGGAATTTTAAATTTCTTTTCATTTTTAAAAAAAATTTGGATTAATGAGTCTTTTAAGAATGGCCCAGAAGTAGGCCCATTACATTAGAGTGACATTCACAATGTCAAATTGTGTTATTACATAGCTGTGACCCTCCATGAAAAAACAATATTGAATTTCCAATCCCACAAACCTATTATACTTTAACCATCTATCCCAACTCTAAATCCTGATCCACTATAGTTATTAGCCATTAATGCTAACCTACTTCTCTGAAGATTCTTCCAAAAAACGTTCTGTGGTACAAGAACTTCCTGAACTCAGCGCTTCTGGGATCTCAACTTCTTTACCCACAATGCTTTTCTAAATAAAAGTGTGCATCTAACCTTGTCAGTTTGTTACCTCTCCCAAGATGAAAATGATAACTGAAGAGAAACCAGTAAGTAGACAACTTCTAAGAATTTTTTATTGAATAGACTTCTTGTTCACATTGGCAAATTGCATTGGCTTAATACTATTCTATAAAAATAAAAAATTAATGATATTTATGAAAATGTGACCTTCCTATAACACGAGTGAGGCAGAGCCACATCATATAGCACCTATGTAGTACCCAATAATGGTAATGATGAACTAGTATCAGATCAATGACTGAGCCTATCATTTGTAAAATTAGGAAACACTGACTGACTTCACATTTCTGAAATTTTAAAACCATCACAGAGGCAAACTACCACTACAGTCTCTTTCTTACATGGTAGGAAACCAGGTACAGAGGAAATCAATTACCCAAAGTTTAACAGGAAGAAATCCTTCCAGTTTAGTAAGATCAGCTTAATAAGTAAACTAATTAACTTTCCATTTTTAAGACCAAAATCAGCTCAAATCAGATGGCGTTTTGAATATCACCCAAGAACAGACAGCGTCTCTTAAACTAGCTTCTCTCAAAGTACGATCAAGGGAGGATTTCAGAGCCTCCAGATGGTCTAAGGCTGCCCTCAAAACGCAGGGTTTAGATGTGTAAGTGCCAGGGAGTCCTCATCAAACAAAGGAGGAAGAAATTGAGGGGATAGGGTTCACTTGAGGTCATCAGACTACTAGAAAGTCAGCAATCCTACCTCAAACTGCCTAACATGTAAACTGGTACCACTGGTGTAGTTAACAATAGATTCAGAATCCCTATACTAAATAGTCCAGTTCTAGATGAGAAATTAGGGGAACGCCACAATTTTCCCAACTTTCAATCCCACACCAGTGTTCTGTATAACTCAGAGCAACTAAAGAATCTTGTGTACCAGCACATCACCTTGTTTGACACTAAATCACATGGCTTAAGTATAAAGATTCAAATGTGAATTTTCAATATAAATGCTTCCACTATCGAAGTATGAAAACACATTTGAAAATGTGCCACATACTGTTACTGTGGGGAGAAGTCTTTACCCACTGCATCATTACCTTGGGTCTGACAACAGTTCTAAGCATAACATTTTTAAAGCGCTTGGTGATTTAATATTTAAATTGCTTCCTGAGTAGTCCATGTTGAATACTGAACTTGATTTCTCTAAAATTTTCATCCAGTGGCTGTCACCTTTCATGTAGATCTAACTACAAATTTTTATAAGAAGTGAATCCTTCCAAAGCAGTTCCATAATTAAAGTTAGATATAAGAAATGGGAGTTTACAATAAATTTTTCATAATGCTAACAATCGGAGCTCATAATTCTTTTCATTTTATGTCATCTTTTATATATTTTTCTCAGGTTCTGGAAGGTTACCTGCTATTTCAAGGAATCAGAAGTAATACAAGAAATGCTTTAGATATATCTAACCCACTGGTAGAACTATACAGAAGTCAACTTTTCAATTCAAATTCCCTTTGAAGTTACTCCACAGAGATTTAAACAGAAATAAAAACAGAAATTTCTTGACAACCATTTTCTCTCAAAAATGTAAGAGCCTATTTCTACCTTTGGTGCATTCTCCCATTGTACTGGCCACTACTATAATGGTTACTTATCTAGCATCCATTTCCCTTTTCTCCCTTCATAATGGACCCAACTTTGTTCCACCCGATATCCACTCTTCCCCTCATTCCACATTGCAAGTCCTAGGAATGGGCCTTAGTTCATTCACTCCAACTTTACCATTGACTGGTTCAAGAACTTAACACAGTCAGGACATGGTACCCTCCTGGAAACTGTTATGCTGGGCACTCAACAGCTGTTCACCCTCATCCCCTCCCCATCTTATGGAAACAGTATCAGTGGCCTACCCGTGGCCCACTGAATAAAGCCCAAACTCAGTATTCAATGTTCTCTACCATCCTTTTACTACCTTTTTAGCCCTTTCTGCCTCGCATATACATCTCCTGCTCCAGCAGCTACAAGCCTGGCCTTTCCAGAATATGCCCCTGCACTTTCCACTTCATATCCTACAGCCAGGCGGTTCCTTTGGCTAGGAAAGCCAAACACTCTCATCTCAGCCAATTCAAATTCTACTCATTCAAAGTCCAGATCAAAAGGAAACTTTTCCATGAAGTCTCCCTTGATATCACCAACAAAGAATGGCACTCATCATATACTCCTTGTATCATAAATCACTTGTGCATGCTTACAGTTTGTTTTAAAACTGCAAACTCCTTACAGGCTGTGGACAAACTCTTGTGCATCTTTGTCTTCCACCACCATCCTGCCGCACCAGACACCCAAGTGCCCAGAGTGGGAGCTCAGTAAACACTTGCTGAACAAATGAACACATTTTTTGAGGGTGAAAAGTGCCTCTACAGAATAGATTACCACGAAGGCTGAAATGTCCTTGGAAGTCTTTAAAAACATCCTAGTATGGTTTAGGAATAGTTCTGCTGAAGGAAAAGAAACACATCAGATGACCTTGTAAGGCTGATTCTGCAAATTTCATCAACTCTTTAAAAGTACTGCCTAACAATTCAAAAACAAACCATACACAAATGCTATTTACAAGAAGAGGGTGGCATTTATTGTAATATACAAAGGTTAACAACCCAATTTCTCACCAAAAATTTCAGTTGTTCTTATAGTAATATTTATAATAATTTCAGTTATGTCCGAGGGATTATTTAAAAGCCCATTTACTCTATCTTATTTCATACCTAAAGGAAGGACAGAGAAAAATGTTGGCCCTCTCAAAGTAGTAACCAGACAAAATTAATTTAGAATCACAAGTTTACATAATGCACATACTGATGTCACTTTATTATCTACACATCATCACTAAATATATACCTAATGAAGTCCAGAGAAGTTATCTGTAATTTTGATTATTTCCTTCTATTACTCCTATGGACCCCTTAAATTGAATTTGTACAATTTAAGTCGGCTAAAATTAGGTTACTTCAAGATCTATGGGTACACTATCAGTGCAACTAAAATTATGGGAAACATACTGATATCTCCAGAAAGAAACTGTATTAACCACAATACTCCATAAATCAGTTAACCTGTTTTTTAAATAAAAGCCTGCAGAATAAATCTCAGTAAATCTCAACAATCAATTAAATGGAACAGAAAACTTGATTCCATAGGACAGGACACACAAAAAGAAAGGGCAGTGTAGAAAATGAGAATCAGGATCTAAATATGACGACTATTCATAGAAAATAAAATATAAGAAAGATTAAGTAGAAATTAGAAAATTAAACTTAAATAGATTTTTTTAAAGACAGTTAATAAGAAAATTAAACATATGTTTATTTCTTTTGTTCTTATGTTGCTATGTTCTGTGTATTTTTGTAAGTCGATTTAAATCCCTTGGGGAAGAAGCTAGACTATAAAAAAAAAAATAAATTCTTGTTTTCTAATCTAGTGTAGCACACCGTAGTTATTTTTTAAAATAAAGACCACATTTTCCGTCATAACCTACATATGCTCGTTAAAGATTTGGGGAAAACTACAATTTAAAGTTTTCCAAATTATTTTAAAAGCATCTCCAGTTTTCCTGCAGCCGCCTGACAACGGAAACGATTCTAAATCCCGTTTCTCCCTGGACCCAGTAAGTAAGGGAGTTCGTTGTCTAAAAGGGGCAAAGAGCGGGGTCGGAGTCAGCGCCGGGTTCAGGACCGGCGGTAACCGGGTGGCGGGTGTAGTTACCTCTGGATCGGAACACCTGAGCAGTGCGGGGGCCGCGGACCGAGGCAGGGGGCGCCGGCTGAGCAGCAGCCGCCGCGTGGGCGCGGGAGCCTCGGCCGACAGCAACGAATATGGCCCCCGAGAAAGTTGGGCTCCGAAGACCGGCCCTGGCGAGAAGGCTGTCTGCGTCGCGGAAAGCCTCCCCCGGCCCACCGGCCCCGCCAGGCCCCACCGGGAGGGGAGGGGAGGGCTACTCACCGTGCAGAGAGAGGAGCAGCAAAGGCGCCAGAGGGGAGCCCCGACAAGTCATTCCGGGGCCGCGGGGAGCGCGCCCGCCGCCCGCCCGGCTCCTCGTCGCGGCAGCGGAGGAGCGGGCCGGGCTCTCTGAGCTCTCGGGGCAGCCCGGACCTCCCAGACCCGCCGCCCGGCCGCAGTCCGCCCGGCGGGGCTGGGACGGTGGGAGCCTCAAACGAGGCAAGTGCGGCACCCGCGCCCTCCGGCTCCGCGGAGGCTGAGCTGCGACCAGGTGCGTCCCGGGCTCGCCGGCCCTGCCCCGCGGCTCCACGGCCACCTCGCACTGCCCCAGGACCCGCCGGCCCCTCGCGCCGCCCGGGGATCCACTCCCCGCAACTCTCGTCCGGCTACTTGGGCGGCAGCCCGGCTGCGGCTCGGCTCCGCGCCGCCCACTCGCCCCGCTTGGTCTCCCCGGCAACCGCGGCTCCAGCGCGACGCCTGGCGGCCCACCAGCTGAGCGAGCGCGGCGCGCAGCTGGCGCGGCCCTGGCCACCTGTGCGCGGGGCCGCCCGCTCCCAGCACACCTCCACGAGCGCTGGGAACCGAAGGCGTGCATCCTCCTCGTCCGCAGCCAGGGCCCTCCCCTGCCCTGAACCACTCCCCAGACCGGCGGTGACAGTCCTGAGCGCCAGAGAGCCCCACAAGGCAATTCACCACAGCTTGCGTCCGAAGAGGCAAGGTTCTTTTCTATCGCAGTTTTCAGATGATTTCTATTTGGCCGTTTCACTTTCTCTCAATCCTTTCTTCTGTACCCTAAGTAACCCAAAAGAACCTGACTCTAGCAAAATTGAGAATCGATGAGGTTTGTCCTATACCTTTTATTTTTCCGACTACCGTTTCTTCCTTGAAAAGAGCGTAGGGGCTGTAGCATGCCCCTAACTCCCAATTCCTATCAAAGACCACCCTCTCTTGCCCCTTCAGTAAAACTTATAACAACTTACAATATTTAAAATTTTTTCTTTTAAACCTTATCGCTTTCTTAAACTAATTTCAAGTATTTGTTAACTAGTAATGCTTTTATTTTAATGTTAACTAGAGATGCTTTTATTGTGGTGATTGATTACTTTGGTTGGGTTTCTATTTTTTGTTTCTTGCTTGTTTTGGTTGGATGGGAAGAGAGACCTTCATGGCATCTGAAATTATTTTACTTAAATACCTACCTACATCTTTCCTTATAAAACCTAATCTTCATGCCTTTTCCAATGAGGTTCCTGCTCCCTTTCTTTTTTCTTTTTTTTTTTTTTTGCGGTACGCGGGCCTCTCACTGCCGTGGCCTCTCCCGTTGCGGAGCACAGGCTCCGGACGCGCAGGCTCAGCGGCCACGGCTCACGGGCCCAGCCGCTTCGCAGCATGTGGGATCCTCCCGGACCGGGGCACGAACCCGTGTCCCCTGCATCGGCAGGCGGACTCTCAACCACTGCGCCACCAGGGAAGCCCCCTACTCCCTTTCTTAAAGCCCATAGTCCCATTCTACTTCAGCATCCCACCCAGTCCTTCTAGATTTGAGGACATATCTCCCCCGGTAATGTCAGACCATTCTGGTCAATTTCTACAGCAGCATAGATTAGAATTCTTGGAGCCATTCAGAAATTCTGAGCCCCCGTCTGGCAGATACAATCCTCCCAGGGCAACTCAGAAATGAAAATGGCACGCACGGGAGAAAGACAAATATATAAAACATCTATACATTTGGACAAAGATTGGGAGACATAGGTAAAAATTAAAATAGTATCAGGATGATGGAATTATGGATGCACTTTTTCTTTTTTGAAAATGTTGCTGTTATAATTTGAAGTTAAAAAAGAAACCACATTAAGAAACATCAACCACCTTTAACAACAATACCCTGAAAAGATAGTTTGATTATGAATATTAAATGCTTCAACTTTGCTGACTACTTCCAATTTGCTAGAATCCCTTACCAGATCCCTAATGGCAAGAAAAGAGTGATATGACAGTATAGAATTTTTGATATTAACAAAAGTTTAATATTTCAAGTATTTCATCACTGGGATCATTCTCATTCTTTTAAGTTCCAGAGTAAGGACTAAATATTCTTTTTCTCCAACCAATTCAGTTCCTTCCTTTGTCTTGTACATATTCCTGCTTTCTAACCCAGCCACAAGCAGGGTATAAGAGCAAGTAATATAAGGAGAAAAGCAAGGTGTTACTCCAAGCAGGACTTTGCTTCACTATAATCCCAGATTTAAATAGATAGAATATTGATTCTATAATTAAATAAATAACCTAATAATCTAGGCTTAAAAGCCTTCATAAAGCAAGTTACCTGATATACTTCTTAGCAAATCAATTCAGCAAATATTTACTGAGTATCTACACTGTGTAAGGCACTGGGTTGAAGGTTAAGCATAAAATATCAGTGTATGATCCTCACCCTTAAATAGCTTCCAATTACACTTGGGATATATCTACAATGTTATGAATCAGCAGAGAAAGAGAGCTGTCCTGCCTCTTTGTCACCATAGTGTACTTCTGCCTTGCCGGACAGGAGCTAGTGAGTTATTAAGAGGACAGAGTGCTCACAGTTTGGTGGAGCAGTCCTTCTAATTGAAAAAGAAGTGTGGCTTCTGGAGGGAGACTGGGGATGATCAGATTTCAGGAGGCAATCTGGCTGCCCAGAAGCATGCGGGCAGATGGTAGATGGCTGACTCAAAGGAAGCAGATCGGAGTACTGGAAACTCCAAGCGCTGTACACAGAGGCACCCAAAAGGACACTCTCACAGGAAACAAAGAAAAACTGTGCTATTTAATTCACAGAGCTAATACCTCAGGCATGTACTCTGAGTAAATTTTGTATTAGTAATGAGTTTTACCAACTCTTTTATCCTAATCTGCCTTATGGCCACAGTAGGCTTTCTTTAAATCTCAATTATTCTGAGTGCTAAAGCAACAGACAGCATCTTTCATTTGTATAATACTTTATAAATGTCAAAGTGCTTTCACATATATTGTCTGATGTGATCTTCACAGCAACCCTAGGGGGTAAGTAAGGCAAATAGTATTACCCCCTCTTCACTCACTAAGACACGGAGTCTCAAAAAGATCAATGAACATCTCAGGGATTGCAAATACCAATGGGCAGAACTGGAACCAACCCAACAGTTTTTTCAACCACACCACAAAGTCTTTCTTTTATCTCTTTATAGACCAACATCTAAAGAAATTTTTATCCACCATAGTGTCTTAAAGCTATCTGTGGGGAACACTGAAATTGCCTCCCCAACATTAATCCCACCTCCACCCCATCAGCATCCCACCACCACTACATCCCACCAGCACATGAGTAGCTGTAAAATATTTTTTTTTAGAAGATGTTGGGGGTAGGAGTTTATTAATTAATTTATTTATTTTTGCTGTGTTGGGTCTTCGTTTCTCTGTGAGGGCTTTCTCTAGTTGTGGCAAGCAGGGACCACTCTTCATCGCGGTGCACGGGCCTCTCACTATCACGGCCTCTCTTGTTGTGGAGCACAGGCTCCAGAAGTGCAGGCTTAGTAGTGGTGGCACATGCCTAGTTGCTCCACGGCATGTGGGATCTTCCCAGACCAGGGCTCGAACCCATGTCCACTGCATTAGCAGGCAGATTCTCAACCACTGCGCCACCAGGGAAGCCCGTAGCTGTATAATTTGAATGAGACAAGCCCCACTCTCACCTCTGAGGAGGCTATAGTTGTCTTACCTGACCAAGGAAGAAATGGAGCGGGGAAGGACTGGGACAAGGGACTCTGTTATAGTGAATAATAATTTTGGATCAAAAACACTGATGACCTGACAATACAGTCAACTTCTCAATATTTAAATAGGAATTATCCAAATTCAAATTTTAGCCCTAGACCAGCTTCTCTCCTCCACCCACCAAAATGCTGGACCCATCTCTTTCCACAATCAGTTACTCTGCATTCAAGAATGGAAAATTAAATTTATGATTAGCTCAGGAGAAACATAATTAGGAAAGAAAAACTGTGGATGGAATCATAAGGCTTTCCAAAGCTAAATATAAATTATTTTAATTAGCTATTTTAAATTATTAATACCACCTATCCCTCTCCATTCGTGTATATAATTAAAGGTTAATTTATGTTTTTGAGAACGTTTGTCTATGGAATGTTTTATAAGAATATCATTCATAAAGTTAGAAAATATCTTTTTGATCCTTGTTTGAGCCAGTAACTCACTCTGTAACTATTTTAACCTCGCTGCTTAGAACCATATATAGTCTAGAGCAGAGCCTGGTCCTTTTTCTTTTTGATTTAAAATAAAAATTTTATTGGAGTATAGATGATTTACAATGTTGTGTTAATTTCTGCTATATAGTAAAGTGAATCAGTTATACATATATCCACTCTTTTAAAAATTTTTTTCCCATATAGGCCGTTACAGAGTACTGAGAAGAGTTCCTTGTGCTATACAGTAGGTCCTTATCTATTTTATATATAGTGGTGTGTATATGTCAGTTCCAATATCCCAATTTATCGCCCCCACCGCTTTCCCCTCTGATAACCATAAGTTTGTTTCTACATCTGTGATTCTATTTCTGTTTTGTAAATAAGAAATAAATATTTAATTCTTTAATATGTAAATATTTGTACCCTTTTTTAGATTCCACATATAAGCAATATCATATGATATTTGTCTTTCTCTGACTTACTTCACTCAGTATGAGAATATCTAGATCAATCCATGTTGCTGCAAATGGCATTATTTTGTTTTTTTTTTATGAGCCTGATCCTTCTAAAAGTAGAACTTGAGAGGAATTCTTCCCTCTTCCCCTTTGTGCAGAGGCAATAAGGTCTCTAAAATAATAATAAAGGAGTAGAAAAGATAATAGTGGAATCATTAGAGTAAAGCAACAAGCAAACTAATAAGTGTTTATCGTATGTTGAGACATAAATAGATCATTTAATATTTTAAAACATCCTTCTCAAATTTTGGATCAATTTGTAACCTAGATATATCGACAGCTTAGTCTTTCTTATATCTGTTTCTGCCTATTCCTCTGGTAAC